AGGTCCTTGATTTGGACCCATTTGGGCTCGGATTGGGTCGAATTTGGTGTCGTTGAGTTTGTATTTCCGAGACGCTCAATTTGACTGTAAGTTCGCTGAAATCGGAGTTCATATGCTCCTAATTTTAATTTCGAAAGTTTCCAACTTAATTTTGCGTTGAGATTTGTGCCCGATCAAGATAATTTTTTGATGATGTATCAGTAATATTTCTTTTTGATTGATAATATGGCAAAGCCCAAAAGTTCCCCCTCAAAAAAAAAAAAAAAAAATCTCAACTGCTAATATATTTATGATGCTACTAATGATGGAAGAAAGTGAGCATAAACAATAGCGTACAATTAACAAAACTAATGATGATTATGGAAGCAACCAAAATGACAAATTAAAAAAAAAATAAATTAATAATCATTTGTAAGGATTATTAGATCTTAGGTGTAGATATATTGTTCATCCAGCTCATTAATTATGACTAAGTCCAGCTTTGGAATTGGTGTATAGGATGTGTAAGCTTATATATTTAGAAATTAACCAGACTAAAATTCGTAATAGCATTTTTTAATGCTAATTAATGGATTAATTAATCAATGATGGTAAACTAATTTAACCACTTTCGGTGAGGACAAAGATGTTTGAGCATATATAGCAGGTGATGAAATCTGACCACTATTTTGTACCCTTTAATCTATAATTCTATACTTTTTGGTTCAGAGTGGGTGATTACAGATTAGTTGGTAGCACATTTAAAACTCTTTATGCTCTTTCATTTTATTAATTTTTAGATCCTATATTTTAATCTTTTAAAGGGTACGGCATCAGGTTAAATGGACAGCTAGTTTGAACTTTGAAGTGTTCCATTTTAAGTTGCTTGAAGTGTAAGAAAATGATTTTTTTTGTGACATTGATAAAATTGGATATGCTTATTAAGAATTAGAAAATTTGCATAGCTTTTATATAAAAACCCATTATATATTGATAGAAATTTTGTGAGAGAAGATTTTCTTACATGAAGGATCCAAAAATAGAAAAAATAAATCACAGGGATTGACCTGATTGTAATGATCCAATATATAATTATAAATGCAAGAATCCATCATTATCCATAATTGAATAAGACATAATAATATAATTACAGAAGCTCGGTGTTCATAGAACACCCACACACGAACACACGCACACACACGTAGAAAATGATACAATATAATTGTTCTTTATATGTCATTATGGACCTCCTCTTAGGCTGTAAATCAAATAAAATCACTTTAGTTATAATTTCAAATTTTTCATAAAGTCGACACAACAATTGAAGCAAAAATTTAAAAAAATTGTTTGTCCAAAGTATTCAAATTTGCTTGAATTAGATTAAAAGGCTTTGTTGGTATTCAAAACTACCAAAATTGAGTTTGGAACTTTAAAAAGTAGTCCCAAGGGTCTCAATAATGTAATAATAAGCTCATTCAAACCATATTTTGGGCCCAGGCAGGGTATTTTGGCTAACCAACTAGAAACTGTACTCACTCTTGTAAGTGTCAGTAGTTGTCTGTGTTGGTGTTTACTGTTGCCAAAGAATGCCTATGTTGTTTCATATATACTGTTATGTGCTTTCTATGGAAGCGTGCCTCTTTGTTTAAGTGATGTATGCGGTACTGCGCATAGTAAAATAAATTTCATATATGTTTTTACTTTTTTCCCTAATTTTTAAAATATTTATTTAACTTTTAAATATTTTTTCCTTGATAAAATATGAAAATTTTCCATATATACATATTATTTATCATGCTTCTATCATGTTGTGTCGTGATAATAACTAGCATGTAGAACATGAAATTTACAACAAAAGCTATATACATTAATTATAAAACAAACAACAATATATGCATAAAGTGCCTTCAATAAGAACCCAAACATGATGATGTCCATAGTAAAGAAAACATACAACTGATCATTTTCATTACCATTATCGATCTGATATTTATATAAAGTCAAAATAGAAATAACATATACCCTAAATTTACTAGAAACACCAATATTGATTGGAATGTTGTGCGAGCAAAAACACAAAGTTCACTAGCACGAGGCAACGACATGCAAATTAAGACGCACGAGAGACAAAGCGATTATTGAACTGTAGCTTCCCTTGACTTCCTCCCCATTTCTCTTAGGTTTACACGCCTCAAGCATGCAGAAGCTTACATCTCCTAGTCCAGCATAATCCACCTCCTCCTGTCAAAGACAAACCACTGTTACATTCCTCAAGTTCTTATCATTGATGACCCTCCAAACCTGACACCCACACCAAAAAAAGCACCACTAAGGATATGATACGAGTACCATAACTAGTTTTTATTTTTGCTAAATGGCAACATATGTAAACAATTATGATCAAACCCTCTAATCGGATAAATTTGCGTAGATATGTACCATTAAATTATGGTTACGTATAGCCCTTATATGTTTCCCAACAACTACAACCATTGAGTATTGAATCATAGGATATACTTGATAGGGTAGGACACCCTATATTAGATAAGTTCAACTTAAATTCCTCCCCTTAACGTACACTTGGATAAAGTCACACATGACTGTTGATAATAAGACTTCAGTTAGGTTACAGTTAGGTTAGATCGACTATCTCCTCTATGTAATTTAAGAACCATGAAAACTAGGGATGAGGAAATCATGTGAGATCTTGATTGAATATGTAATAATTGACCCATCATTTACTTTAAGAGTAAGGTGTTATGTTTCAAATCTAATACTAAATTCACTGTTGCTATATGCTTAGTATTTAGTGCTTATATAGAGAATATCCTTAATCGAAAGTGCTCTTTTGTTACTGAGAGATATAATTAATCACAAAGACTTGCGATTAGGAGAAAGTTGAACTCATATATTAAAATTTCACAGATGATGGCAAAATCTCTTGGTAGTGTCTTAGTATCAATTAATCTGCCTTCTGAAAAAATTTATCATGAAACATTATGTTAAAACTCTTCAAAAATGTAGAGAGGTTGGGGTCCGAATTTTTTAAGCACATAGCCATTTGGTTGAATGACTCAAATTGCCTAATAATTTTCTCCATCATACTTATGACCATATGAGAATTGAGTGCTATGATGCCTCTCTACATAAATCATTAGAACAAATACTTGCATGCATAGCAAAATCATTCAAATGAGGCAATCTCAATAGAAATGGTAAGTGTAGGATAATAAATTTGAATTTTGCTTGAAGTTTCATCAAACAATTATAGAAATTGATCGACTTTACTAGAAGTTATTTGAACAACTTTCTTGCATTAATAGAAACTTTTTAAGATTGATTCTTTTTCGAAAATTATTCAAATCTTACTTGAAACTTGAATAATCTTCTACTAAGTTTTGAATAATATTTGATTATAAGCCTAATATATCTTGATTAAAATTAGAATAAGTTTCGAGCAATATTCAAAGTTAGTAATGTGGTGCTTAATTTACTTTTGAGTTTAAGGCTTCGTTTGGGACAGCTTTCTTACTGTTTCTTAAAGCAACTTTTCAGTACAAATTTTTTTACTTTTTGTACTAAAAAACTGTTTTAAGAAGTAGAAAGAAAGTTGTCCCAAACAAAGCCTAAAGTTCAAACTTATTAGATATATAATACTGGAGAATATAGGAAATTTCAGCTATATTTTATTAATACCAGAATTCTTGGGTATTAATTTATAACGAGAAATAAAATGTGGGCAAAGTTTACAAAAATTTAAATTTTGGATACTTTCTAGTCTTGGCTTTCTTATTTCGAGCCCAAATAGTTTATGGCTTTATGGTTAACGACGATGCTGAGCTCGCGCCGCCATGGCGAACCTGAGTTATCTCCAGATCATTCGCAGGGGCTTCGTGCGAAACTCGTTCCATCGGCCTCATCCGGCTTCCCTTGTCATCCGCCGCCCCGAAGCCATAGCTCCTTCCGTCGTCGGTGACTGCCGCCTCTCCTTCTCCTCCTCCTCCTCCTCGGATGACATCGTCGACCTCCGTGAGCGCATTCTACTACTCACTGAGAAGCCCAGTATTATAAGGCAGGATGGCGAAGTTGATGCCATCCGTTCTCAGGTTTCCTCTCTTGCGGATGAACTCCTTGCCATGGGCCATCTTGCCAACCTCGCAGACGACGACGATCTCACCGATCTCGCCGCTTTTCTTGACTCCCGCTCAACTGTTTCCCTACTTCGCCGTTCTCCCTCTGGTTTGGCCTTTGTTGAGCTCCTCTTTCGTCTCAGAAGTCGTCCCCGCCTCGCCGTCCAGGTAAAGGATTTGACTAGTAGGGTTTTTGGATTAACCTTTTCCGGTTTGTTTATTGAGTGCGTCCTTTTGGTCCACTCTTTTTTTTTGGATGATAGGTTTTTCTTTGGCGGTTGAAGCTGGCTGATGCCGGTGTGCAGCTTGTCCCAGAGGAGTATGCTAAGGCCATCTCACTTGCTGGTCGGTCCAACAAGGCCGATCTTGCCGGTGACCTTTTCACCGATGCCGGCCGCCGCGGGATACGAAGCACTGGGATGTATAACTCCCTCATGGCAGCGTACATGTACAACGGTCTCGCGTCCAAGGCCATTTCTGTCTTCGAGGACCTTAGGCGCGACCCGGTATGCGAACCCGGTATTGTAACTTATAACATTCTTCTCTCAGTTTACGGTCGTTTGATGCTCATCGATAAATTGGAGATTATTCTCAAACAAATCCACGAGAACCCCCATATCTCTCCAAATTTAACCACTTACAATATTCTCATGGCCGCTTACCTCACCGCCTGGATGTGGGATCGTATGGAGAATACTTACAAGGGAATGATGAGTGGGCTTGTCAAGCCTGACGCTTTCACGCACTGCCTCATGCTTCGTGGCTATGCTCATGCTGGCAACATTGAGAAGATGGAGGAGATGTACGAATTGGTAAAGGATCTGGTGAACAAGAGTGTATCGCCGCTTGTTAGAGCCATGATCTGTGCCTATTGCAAGACTTCAGATAAAGATAGGGTGAGCAAGATTGAGGAGCTGACCAAGCATATTCCAGAAGATGAGTATAGGCCTTGGCTAAATGTTCTTATGATCAGGCTATATGCTCAGGAGGGATTACTAGATGCCATGGAGAGGTTTATCTTTGAGGCAGTTAACAGGGAAGTAAGAGTCATAGCAATAGGTGTCATGCGCTCCATCATTTCAAGTTATTTCCGATGTGATTCCATGGACCGGCTGATCAAGTTCATCAGGCTGGCAGAACGTGCTGGGTGGAAACTATGCCGTTCGTTGTATCACTGTAAGATGGTGATGTATGGGCAGCGAAACCAGATAGTTGACATGCATGGAGTGTTGGAGGAAATGGAACATTTTAGGTTTAATCGTACAAAAAAGACATTCTTGATCATGTATAAGGCATATTCAAAAGCTGGTAGGAGATCTGAAGCTGAGATTGTTGTCGGGATGATGTGCAAATATGGTTTTCTTGAACCTAAGGCTGCTTTGCAATTCTAGTTGGCTTGGAGGATGCCAATAGAGTTGTTTGAACTAGCATTTTGCTGATTGATAATGACAGCTCATCGTTATCAGCTCTTGATGTGATTTTTGGGTGAGTTTCTCATATGGAATTTCAGCACACTGGTTTATTTGATATAGTTGTCTTTTTCCTGTTGCAAACATTGTCAATTAACATTTTTCTAAGATATCCAAATCAGCCAATCTTGAAGCACCATTTCTACAAGTAGATTTTTTTTTTCTTGCTCGATTAGAACTACTGACTTTCATAATTTAAAATTGCGTAATAAGAGGCGCCTCAAGGCATGCCTATGTGCAATTTAGCCCCCAAGAGCCTCATTTTTTTAGCAATTTTGGGTCTAGGTGAGGCTTATGCCTCAGGGTCCATGAGGCTTAATTGCGCAATGTTGGGTGAGGCGCATGCCTCATGATGTTGGGTCCCACCAACTTAAGTTTCTAATTTAAAAACCCTATTTCCTCTATTCTTTCATTCGGCCTACCCGAACCGAATGGAGGAGTTCTCCGCAAGCCCAGTATCGTGACCTAGCTTCACTCGGCCTCCCTTCCTGCCACCTCTCCCACCGGCACTGCCTCACGCCGGTGAGCTTCTAGTGTACAGCCGCCCTCAACGACAATTCCACTATCGGTTTTAGGTATTTTTTAATTCAAGGTAAGATTTTTCAAGTTATAGAAAATCTATGGTTTTTTATTTTTTGAGATTTTTGGTTTTATTTTGCATTTGTTCATTAGGAAACATTGTTAGGGGCAAGAAAAAGTCAAATACGTCATTGCGGCGGGACCCTTCTTGGAAGTACAGTGTACAGGTTGACGTAGGAGGCGGCGAGAAGACATATGTGTATTCAATGCAGAAAAAAGACTGAGCATTGAAGCTAGAGAAATTCTCAAAACCAATGAAGTCAATGCTCTTTTCTTTCATGCATATCCATTTGTGTTAAATGCAATGGAATTTATTTATACCCTACTAATTTTCTCCTATTTATCAACAATCTTTTAATTGTTGTATAGGCCTAGTGGAAATATAATTGGATTTTAACTTAAGAACTGATAAATGTTGAGCTTAAGCTTGGCCTCCACAAAAGATTAATAAGTACACTTTTCCTATTTTTTTGTGTTTTGAGGTGGGGCTTGGGCAATGTTGAAAGCAAAAGCAAAAAGACTAGAGAATGGGCAGTGATAGTCTCAATTTTGTAATAGAGGCATTGGTTGTGATCTTGTTGCATTTGCTTCAAATTAATGAATTGATGTTGACAATGACGATGTAATCTATTAGCATGTTAAGACTTAAAAGTAGGGCCATAGCATTGGCTCTTATATTGGAAGGAAACTCATGATAAGGGGAGGGTATTAGGGTGGGCATGAGAAGGTGGGAAAAGAAGAAGGTTGCATTAGTGGATAGGTCTAAAATGAATTTCCTTAATAAAAAAATGTTTAAACATTTTTGGGAATTTAAATCGAATTAAAATTATCACATATTTTATTGATTTGAGCTTTGATTTGAAGAAGCTTAATATGGATCAAATTCAAGTTGTACACACATACACATATATTCACAAACACATACGACTTAGTGATGGGGACATCAGATTTCGACACATGTACTATCGCGGGAGACGCAGATCTACGGCGACGATTCAGAACCTCTACTTCTGATTTATGTGCATTTTATTTTTATGATTGTATTTTCTGTTTTCCTAGTTCGCCCCTGTGGGCATTGAGTCGCTTATGTAGCCTGGAAGGACATTTGTGTCTTTTTCCTTTTTCTCATTTCGGCCTATTTATATGAGGCCTCATGCTTTGTATTGAGGATGATTGGATGAATGAAATTTCTTTTTATGTTCTCTATGTGAGTGCATGAAGATCTCTTGGTGAGTTCTTCCCTTTGAGATCTTTTAGTGAGTTCTCTAAGCAATTGCTAACCATAGCATTCCTTTTCTTCCATTTACCTCTCTCCCACCCACAAGAGAGTTTTACATAAAATTTTTCATAGCCCTTGCCGCCGGCCTCCCTAGGGATTCCCGCCGCCGGCCAAGCTCGCAACCACCGGCCGCCCACCTTGCCGACGACCCTTCCCACCCGACCAATCCCTCTCTCCACCAAGTTCAAATTTGAAATT